CCCCAACTATAGAAGATTTAAATTAGAGCAGGGGAAATTTTATGAAGAGAGTGAATTAAACTTAGGCTATCTTACTGAAGGAAAATGCAAATTTATACCAAAAATGGTATAAAGTCTCATCTGTCAAAAAAAGATGGCGGAGGAGTAGGGGACCCTATTCCAACCGGTCCCTGGAATTGAGCTGGATATCTACCAGACCACTCTGAACACCCACGAAATCAGCCTGAGATAGAAGAAGATAAATATGGATCTCTACAAACAGAATATCGCAGGCAGTTGGTTTCAAGGTATGAAGCACGGAGCCGTGATTCCACTGGTAGATATCAGAGGATAAACGGCAGGGGGAGGGAGCCTGGCCGTGGGGATCCTACACCGCCAGTGAGCGATAGCCTACCCCACTGGAGACGGGGCACAGGCTCACAGACCGGTAGCAGCGGGGAAAGGACTTTAGGGCAGCCCCCAAGATGGAAACCCAGAGTGGCAGGGTTGTGTGTGCGAACTGGGGGCAGCTGGTGGTTTTAGAAGCACAAAGGGCAGAGATGTGCCCTGACCCGGAGGCGAGGACTGGGAGCCCTGCTGAGGGGCGCACAACCCAGGACGCTGTAGCTTATAGCAGCACAGACAGAAACAGAGATAGTGTGGCCTGGAGAGCTCACTGAAGAACAGACTGTGATCTCTCTGCTCAGACTGTGAACAGGCAGAGAGTTGGAAACGGTCTCTTCTACTCTGACTCTTAGAAGAGACGTGGAAAGCCACCAGGGAAAATGCCAGAGAACAAAAGCCCCAAAAAACTGGTTTTCACTGAGCCCATCCCCCGCCACAGGGGGCAGGGCAACTCTGCCCAAACAGGGTTGCCTGAGTAACAGCACAGCAGGCCCCTCCCCCAGAAGACAAGGGAAAACAAGAGGCCAGCAACCCTAAGGTCCCTAGAAAACAGGTGCATCTTGCTTGGGTTGTGGTCAATAATTTGGACTCTATACATTCCCTCAACCACCCCTCAACAGAATGACTAGGAGGAGGAACCCCCAAAATAGGAAAGACTCAGAAATTATGATTTATGCCATAGATTTACAAATGGATTCAGATATAACCAAGATGTCAGAGATGGAATTCAGGCTAGCAATTGTGAAGACAATAGCTAGAATGGAGAAATCAGTTAATGGCAACATAGAGGCTCTAAGGGCAGAAATGAAAGCTGAATTGGCAGAACTTAAAAATGCTATCAATAAGATCCAATCTAATCTAGATAATCTAACAGCTAGGGTAAGTGAGGCAGAAGAACGAATTAGTGACCTTGAAGACCAATTAATAGATAAAAAGGGAAAAGAGGAGGCCAGGGAAAAACAACTAAGAATCCATGAAAATAGAATCAGGGAAATAAGTGACACTGTGAAATGTTCCAATGTCAGAATTACTGGAATCCCTGAGGGGGTGGAGAGAGAGAGAGAGAGGACTAGAAGATATATTTGAGGGGCGCCTGGGTGGCTCAGTTGGTTAAGCGACTGCCTTCGGCTCAGGTCATGATCCTGGAGTCCCGGGATCGAGTCCCGCATCGGGCTCCCTGCTCGGCAGGGAGCCTGCTTCTCCCTCTGACCCTCCCCCCTCTCATGTGCTCTCTCTCTCTCATTCTCTGTCTCAAATAAATAAATAAAATAAAATCTTTAAAAAAAAATAAAAAAAAAAAGATATATTTGAGCAAATTGTAGCTGAGAACTTCCCTAATCTGGGGAATGAAACAAACATTCGAGTCCTAGAGGCAGAGAGGACCCCTCCCAAGATCAAGGAAAACAGGCCAACACCCTGGCATGTAAGAGTAAAACTCAAATATCTAAGAACCAAGGAAACCATCTTAAGGGCAGTTGGGGGAAGAGATTCAACATAGTACTAGAAGTCCTAGCAACAGCAATCAGACAACAAAAAGAAATAAAAGGTATTCAAATTGGCAAAGAAGAAGTCAAACTTTCTCTTTTCGCAGATGACATGATACTTTATGTGGAAAACCCAAAAGACTCCACCCCAAATTACCAGAACTCATACAGCAATTCAGTAATGTGGCAGGATACAAAATCAATGCACAGAAATCTGTTGCTTTCTTTTTTTTTAATTTTTTAAAAGATTTTTATTTATTTATTTGAGAGAGAGAGAGAGCATAAGAGGGGGAAGGGTCAGAGGGAGAAGCAGACTCCCCACTGAGCAAGGAGCCCAATGTGGGATTCGATTCCCGGACTCCAGGATCATGACCCAAGCTGAAGGCAGTCACTTAACCAACTGAGCCACCCAGGTGCCCCCAGTTGCTTTCTTATACAATAACAATGCAACTGTAGAAAGAGATATTAGAGAAACAATTCCATTTACAATAGCACCAAAAACCAAAAACCAAAAACCCTCAGAATAAACCTAACCAAAGAGGAAAGGATCTATACTCTAGGAACTACAGAACACTCATGAAAGAAATTGAAGACGACACAAAAAGATGGAAAAACAGTCCATGCTCATGGATCAGAAGAATAAACATCGTTAAAATGTCTAGGCTACACAGAGCAATCTATACCTTCAGTGCCATCCCAATCAAAATTCCAATGACATTTTTCAAAGTGCTGGAACAAACAATCCTAAAATTTGTATGGAATCAGAAAAGACCCCGAATCGCCAAGGAAATGTTGAAAAAGAAAAACAAAGCTGGGGGCATCACGTTGCCCGATTTCAAGCTATATTACAAAGCTGTGATCACCAAGACAGCATGGTACTGGCACAAAAACAGACATATAGACCAATGGAACAGAACAGAGAGCCCAGATATGGACCCTTAACTCTATGGTCAATAATCTTTGACAAAGCAGGAAAAAAACATGCAATGGAAAAAAGACAGTCTCTTCAATAAATGGTGCTGGGAAAATTGGACAGACACATGGAGAAGAATGAAACTTGACCATTCTCTAACACCAAAAACAAAGATAAACTCAAAATGGATGAAAGACCTCAATGTGAGACAGGAACCCATCAAAATCCTAGAGGAGAACATAGAGAGTAACCTCTTTGACATCGGCCACAGCAAATTCTTTCAAGATACATCTTCAAAGGCAACTGAAACAAAAGCAAAAATGAACTTTTGGGACTTCATCAAGATAAAAAGCTTCTGCACAGCAGAAGAAAGTCAACAAAACAAAGAGGCAACCCACAAAATGGGAGAAGATATTTGCAAATGACACTACAGATAAAGGGCTGGTATCCAAGATCTATAAAGAACTTCTCAAACTCACCACCCAAAAAACAAATAATCAAGTCAAAAAATGGGCAGAAGACATGAACAGACACTTCTCCAAAGAAAACATACAAATGGCTAAAAGACACATGAAAAAATGTTCATCATCATTAGCCAGCAGGGAAATTCAAATCAAAACCACACTGACATACCACCTTACACAAGTTAGAATGGCAAAAATTGACAAGGCAAGAAACAACAAATGTTGGAGAGGTTGTGGAGAAAGGGGAATCTTCTTACACTGTTGATGGGAATGCAAGTTGGTACAACCACTTTGGAAAACAGTGTGGAGGTGCCTCAGAAAACTAAAAATAGAGCTACCCTATGACCCAGCAATTGTACTACTGGGTATTTACCCCAAAGACACAGATGTAGGGAAAAGAAGGGCCATATGCATCCCAATGTTCATAGCAGCAATGTCCTCAATAGCCAAACTGTGGAAAGAGCCAAGATGCCCTTCAACAGATGAATGGATAAAGAAGAGGTCCATATATACAATGGAATATTACTCAGCCATCAGAAAGGATGAATACCCAACTTTTACATCAACATGAATGGGACTGGAGGAGATTATGCTAAGTGAAATAAGTCAAGCAGAGAAAGTCAATTATATGATTTCATTTATTTGTGGAACATAAGGAATAGCATGGAGGACATTAGGAGAAGGAAGGGAAAAATAATGGGGAAATCGGAGGGAGAGATGAACCATGAGAGACTATGGACTCTGAGAAACAAACTGAGGGTTTTAGAGGGGAGAGGGGTGGGGGGATGGGTTAGCCCGGTGATGGGTATTAAGGAGGGCATGTACTGCATGGAGCACTGGGTGTTATATGAAATCAATGAATCGTGGATCACTGCATCAAAAACTAATGATGTACTGTATGGTGACTAACAACATAATAAAATAAAATTTAAAAAAATTCTCATCTGTCAGTTTAGAACGTGAATGAGAAAGCATTAGGAGGAAAGATAAAGTACTAGAGTATTGTTTTATTTGAAGTAAATACTCTGGGAAAAAGGAATTGTTAAATAGACGTGTGAGGGACATCAGAGACTGGTTATCTCCTGACGTTTAGATCAGAGCATTTGAAAATTCTGACTTTAACTTTATCCTGAAGCAGTAATTTGCCACCATGGAATATTTGATAGGATTGCAATAACAACTCAGAAGTTAGTAATAGAAGAAAATTACCGAGCTAAGAAAAATTCATCTGTCATCAAACTGAGTGTTTTCAATGACCAAGATGACTTCAGAAATCAGGGAGAGTCAAAACTGCTATGATGAAAGCATTAAGGGGACATGAAGAAAGATGACAGAAGGTCTGTGGAATAAAGCAGAATCTTGGTGATGCTGTAGTAATTTAAGCCACCCAACTATAATACTCTAAGTTGTTTAATTAGGATACTTGTTGATTCTGTTTTGATACTAATTCTATTAAGACAATGCTTTCCGGGCGCCTGGGTGGCTCAGTTGGTTAAGCAACTGCCTTCGGCTCAGGTCATGATCCTGGAGTCCCGGGATCGAGTCCCGCATTGGGCTCCCTGCTCAGCCAGGGAGTCTGCTTCTCCCTCTGACCCTCCCCCCTCTCATGCTCTCTCTAGCTCATTCTCTCTCAAATAAATGAATAAAACCTTAAAAAAAAAAAAAGACAATGCTTTCCTTTACTTCTATGCAAAATTTTGTTTTCCTGATATTCCTTGACTTGAGTATTTTTCCCTCTCTCCCCTCCCCATTTAGAAGTCGAGCCATCCTCCATCATCAATACAAAAACCTTAAATACAATGTTGGAATACATTCCTAATTTGTCACAGGAGCTGAAGGCAACACTGTCTGCGAGGCAGCCATCATTACAAGAGCTACAACTTGCACTGGAAAGTTCAAATCTTAACTTGGAAGAATTGAAGAAAATTGTTTTTAGTGGACAATATGAAGCTGAAGAGAAAAGTCTTTCAGAATTAGAAAACTCAGGCTTAGATAAACATTCCCGAAAAAAGAGACAGCCCTATGTAAACTTACGTGAGAAGTGTTGTCATATAGGTTGTAGCAGACAAGAGCTTGCTATACTATGCTGAGATGAAAGTATTGTGTATTTCATCTACTGTTCCCATGATTCTTCATGACACATTCACTGATGGCTCTGTCACCCCACTGATTATTAAAATATGAGAAATCATCATTTAGTGTTTGGGCTTTTCATTTGGTGTGTAACAAAATATTCCTTGCATTATTATAGTTTCTGCTAATAATACTTTTTATTCCAAAAAATATTTTGCCTTTTTTATTAATGGTATAAGTGTTACTGCTTTTTTAATGCTGTTAACTTAAAGTGACATAATCTTTATCATCTTAACCACACACAATAACTCAAAAAAATTTTTGATGGCTTAGTAAAACATTTTGCTTTGCACTAGTGAGAAAGGATAAGCCTATTTTTAAAATTTGTATTTGATAAATTATAATCTGTCACCCACTCTTTTTCCTCCAGACCTAATGCCCAAATGTTATCTCACTACTTAATATTAAACACATTAATAGCAAGAGATAAAAATAAAAAAATAACGTACACAATGCCTAACACCAGGTACACAGAATGGACCAAAATGTTTTTATTGATATTAATTCAGATCGGATATATAAAGAGTCACAAAACTTGGACTTTTCTAATAGATTTTAAAAGATTTTTGTGTCTTATTGAACTATTAATTGCAAATAATCAGATTGAACATTAAATCCATTTAACTGAGTTGGGGACATATAAACTCAAGTATTTTTCAAACTAGGGTTCTTCTAATTCTACCATCTAAGACACTAAAAGTAAATTATGTTTTTTTAAGGAGAAAAATGAATAGATATATAAAAGAGAATATACAACTGAGTGTCATATATTACAGAAGAACTGATTTAGCAAGGGAACAAACTTTATGTTTACTATTTGAGAATTTACAAACCATTTCTATAACAAAATAACTGTGAAATGATATGAAAACTTGTGAGAAAAGTAAATTAACAAGTATCTTAGTATTTAGCCAGTTCCTTTGACTTATATACACCTACATTTCTAGGCAGCATTTACAGAAAACTTAAATAGCAAGTTAATCTCTATCAAATATCTATAAACAGAATTTTAAATATTCTCCCCAATTTCAAATCTCCATAATGGTTAATCATAATGAGTCTTCTAAGGTTTATTAAGTACTAACCAAGGCTACATTGTAAAACTTCATAGGTGGCTGCAGAACCTCACAGGCCATAAGTCACTTGGACAAAGCCAGAAAGAGCGCTATCTGAAATGCAAAGTCCAACAAAGGAGAACAAGGGCAGTACCCAGGAATTTTAGCCCCAACAGAATGAAGAGGCATTCCCAGACACATAAGGCATCTCCCCAGACCCTGCCCTAACTCATATCCCTCTTATGCACCTCCAAAAAAGCCCCCGAGGTGGGGTTCCTGGTCCCAGAATCTGCATTCACTACCTCTGATGATATGACCACATTTTAAGTGGTACAATCTATGGTTAACCATACACACTCAAATAATCAGTTAACATCTTTAAGATATCTAATTCTCATGTTACCAAAGTCCTCCTAAAATTCTCACGAGAAACTAATTTCCTACAACGTGTGCAGAAATAACACTCATTTCACCCTTTTTAAAAAATAAGAAATATTTTTAACTAAAAGAGGTCTAAGTGAAATTTTAGTCCAAAATACAGTGGTTAAGAGATGTTTGTATGCTTATTTCTCATATAAAAAGATTTACTCTTTGTATATGTGTATCAATTAGGATTGTGTTCTCTGTAAATAACAAAGCCCTACAATGGTGGCTTCAAAGAAGCCTATGGACTAAATATCCAACCCTGAATGATGCAAGCAGGCTCCTCACACATTTCCAGTCAGCTATGCTTAGTATATGGGTCTTCCTCCTTATGCCTCTCACCTCATGGTCCCAAGACGGCTGCTGCACCTCTGGATCTGAGTGTGCACTTTAGGCAGGAAAAGAAAGGAACAGAAGAAGGTTTAGTGTCTGGATCAGAAAAGCAAAGGCTTTGCCAGAAATCTCCACATGTGTGCTTATGTTATACTGGCCATAACTGTGACACATGGACCCTGCTGCCAGCAAGATACTTGGGAAATCATTTCTAGACTCACTTATAGCCTAGAGAGTTGAGATAAGCAAGAGAGAAGGGTCTAGAAAGAAGACTGAAGTAATCAACCTATACCTTCACTCATGCTTGCTGCTCTTGTACCTACAATGACTGTAGGTACAAGACATTAATCTTCATTAGCCTTCACTATTAAGATTAACTCCATAATGATGTACTATACATTGGCTAATTGAATTAAAAAAAAATTAACTCCAACTGGAGTTGGATCCAAGGAATATCACGGGAAAAAGAAAGGAGTCTTTGGAATCCAATAGACATGGGTAGGAACTGCATTCCAGCACTTAGCAGCTATACGCATGGGCACATTTATTTTTTCTCTTTAAAAAAGTATCTTTGTTTCTTTTTTAATTTTTTTTTAAGATTTTATTTATATATTTGAGAGAGAGAATGAGGTAGAGCGAGCATGAAAGGGGGGAGGGTCAGAGGGAGAAGCAGACTCCCTGCTGAGCAGGGAGCCCAATGCGGGACTCGATCCCAGGACTCCAGGATCATAACCTGAGCCGAAGGCAGTTGCTTAACCAACTGAGCCACCCAGGTGCCCATCTTTGTTTCTTTTGACTGAAAACATTTATTTATATTTTTAATGAATTGACAATTTTTAAAGCAGTTTTCATTCCAATTTTGGTATATGTGGTACCAAAGCAAATACAAAGCAGCTTTCAGTTTACAGAAAAATATAGCAAAAAGTACAGAGAGTTCTCCTCTACCCTCTTGCTCACAAAAAGTTTCTCCTATTATTAACATCTTGCATTAGTGTGGTTCAGTTGCATTACCTGATGAACCAATAAAGACATATTATTATAATTATTATTTATTATGAAAGTCTACAGTTTGTTAGGTTTCATCCTTTGTGTTGTACATTCTGTGTTGTTTTTTTTTAATTAACTGACTTTTTATCACCCTATCACCTACCATTTTACATTTGTTATATGTAGGATATTTATTATGACTGATGAACCACCAGTCACATATCATTATCAAGCAAAGCCCACAGTCTACATTATGGTTCACACTTGGTGTTGTACATTCTAGGGTTTTGACAAATCTGTATAACATGTACCCATCCTTTCAGCATCATACCCAATAGTTTCCTTGCCCTAAAAATCCCTTGTGCTACATCTATTCATCCCTTCCTCCCCTCATGTCCCTGGCAACCAACCACTAATCTTTCTACTTTCTCCACTGTTTTGCCTTTCTAGAAACTCATACAGTTATCACAGTATACAGCCTTTTCAGATTATCTTCTTTTACTTAGTAATACACCTTTAAGATTCCTCCATGTCTTTTCAGGGCTCAATAGCCCTTTCTTGATAGCAATGAGTAACATTCCATTGTATAGATATATCACAGTTTATCCATTCACCTATTGAAGGACATTTTGGTTACATCCAAGATTTGGCAATTATGAATAAAGATGCTATAAATATCTGTGTGCAGGTTTTTGTGTGGACATAAGTTTACAACTCCTTTGGGTATACTAGATCATATGCTAAGAATATGTACTTTTGAAAAAAACTGATAAACTGTTCCCCAAAGTGTCTGTCCCATTTTGCATTCCCACCAGCAATGAATTAGAGGTCCTGCTACTTACTGTGTATCCTCACCAGCATTTGATATTGTCAGTGTTCTAGATTTTGGCCACTCTAATAGGTATGCAACAGTATCTCATTGTTTTAATTTGCAATTCCCTAATGATATATGATATTGAGCATCTTTTCATATCCATTATATCTTATTTGGTGGAAATGTCTGTTCATACCTTTTGCTAATGTCTTAATCAGTCTGTTTTCTTACTGTTGAATTTTAAGAGTTCTTATATACTTTGGATACCAGTCATTTATCAGAAAAGTGTTTATACATGTATAGCTTGTTGTTTCACTTCCAATGAGTGTCTTTCATAAAGAAGGCTCATGTTTTAATAAAGTCCAATGTACCAACTTTTACTTTCGTGAATGTTTTAGTATTATATCTAAAAGGTCACTGATGATTCACTCACAAATCAAATGAAAAATGAAATTAAATCAAATGAAAAACAAAACAAATGAAGAAAAAAGAGACAAACAAACAAAAAAAAAACACCAGACTTTTAACTATAAAGAACAAACTGATGGTTACCAGAGGAGAGGTGGTTGGAGGGGTGGGGGAAATAGGTGATGGGGATTAAAGACTAAAGAGTACACTTAACTCGATGAGCAGTGAGTAATTTACAGAATTGTTGAATCACTGTAGTGTACACCTAAAACTAATATAACACTGTACATTAATTATACTGTAATTAAATAAATAAAATTTTTAATAAAAATAAAAGATCATGGCAAACCCACATCACTTAGATTTTCTGCTATATTATATTCTAGGAGTTTTATAGTTTTGCATTTTTTATGGTAAAATACAAATACCATAAAATTTACCATTTTAGCCATTTTTAAGTGTACATTTTATTGGCATTAAGTGCATTCACACTGTTGTTCAATCATCACTACTATCCATGTCTAGAACTTTTTCATTATCTCACACTGAACCTGTGTACTCATTAAACAAGACTCCCCATTCCATCACTGTGAGTCCCTGGTAACCACTACTCTAGTCTCTGTCTCTATGAAACTGGCTATTCCAGATACCTCATATAAGTGGAATTATATAATATTTGTCCTTCTGTGTCTGGCTTATTTCACTTACTATAATGTTTTTAAAGTTCACCCATGTTGTAGCATGTATCAGAGGTTCATTCCTTTTTATGGTATAATAATGTTTCATTGTATATACCATATTTTCTTTATCCACTCATCCATTAATGGTCATTTGGGTTATTTCTACCTTTTGGCTTTTGTGAATAATTCTGCTTATGAACATGAGTGTACAAATACCTGTTTGAGTCCCTGCTTTAAATTCTTTTGAGTACATACCTAGGAGGGGAATTACTGGATCATATGCTCATTCTATTTTTAACTTTTTGAGGAACCATCATACTGAATT